TCAGGAAAAATTGACTTACAATAAAAGTTCACATGGTCGATAGGTTCAGGTCCTGAGATGATTCACATGTTCATGTTAACATAAATAACAACAACAAAGAAACAAACCTTTAGGTTTCTTGGGGTTTCTATTGCTGTGAGAAACACCAAAACCATGAAAATCTTTTTTTTGGGGGGGGGGTCAAGACAGAGTTTCTCTGTGGCTTTGGAGGCCGTCCTGGATCTCTGTAGACCAGGCTTTCCTTGAACTCACAGAGAGCTGCCTGCCTCTGCCTCCCGAGTGCTGGGATTAAAGGCATGTGCCCACCACCACCTGGATGACCATGACAATCTTTTAAAGGAAAACATTTACTTGAGGTGGCGACTTACAATTTTAGAGGTTTAACCCATTAATCATGGTGGGGAGCATGGTGGTTGGGAGTATGCCAGTGTTCAGTCTCATAGTTCTGGAGAAGCAGCTGAGAATCCTACGTCTTGCAGGCAACAGGAAATGATCTGTGTGGCATACTGAGCAAAGTTTGAGTATATATGAGACCTCAAACCTGCCTACACACACTTCCTCCAACAATGCCACAATTTCCAGTAGTGCATTCCCTTTGTGGGCCATTATCTTTCAAATTGTAGACAAAATAGCAAAATATGGGGTATTTGAACAGCATTAAGATTCATTGTTCATTCTAAAATTGCAAAATCTGATAATAAAGATTCACATGAGAGCAGGGAGAAAGGAATATCTTACACCAAGCTGGCTTCAAACCCTAGTCTTCTGCCCCTTGTATGTTAATGTACATCTGTAGATGTACATTATTGCAACTAGTTTTATTATATGAGTTTTAAAAGGTACTTAAAATATATTCAACAATTGTCTTAAGATATCTATTGCTGCAGCAAAACACCATGACCAGAAAGCAAGTTGGCAGGCAAAGGGTTTATTTAACTTACACTTCCACATTGTAGTTCATCACTGAAGGAAGCCAGACAGGAACTCAAACACGGTGGGAACCTGGAGGCAGAAACTGATGCAGAAGCCATGGAGGAGTGCTGCTTCTGGGTTTGCTCTCCCAGGCTGGCTCAGCCTGCTTTCTTATAGAACCTAGGACCACCAGCTCAGGGATGGCACCACCCACTATGGGTTAGGACCTCTGCCATTGATCACTAATTGAGAAAAGGTCTTACAGCTAGATCTCATGGAGACATTTCCTCAATGGAGGCTCCTGCCTCTCTGATAACTCTGTCTTGGTGTCAAGTTGACACACAAGACTAGCCAGTACAGCAATAAACTCAAAGCTGAGTTCAAGTTGAATAAACCTAAGATCAAATCTATAGAAATCACCTAAATTAGCTGAATGTGGTTGTGCTATTTGGTAGGTGAAGTAGGAATGCAATTAAGAGCTAACCTTGACTATATCACAAGATCTTGTCCAAAATAGAAAACAGGAGGAGGAAAAAGAAACAGAAAGTCTTTTCCCTCCCACCCCCCAATTTGTGGAGATTGGTTAAAAGTTCTAAGATGCATTTTGTTCACCCGATGAGAATAAATCCTAACAAACCTATCCAAAGTTAATAGGACGTTGACAATGCATCTGACAAATTGAACACCAGCTGAGCATGCTGTTGGCTCATGATAGTCTGTGTCTGTGGCTAGCCATTGTCACTGTTATCAAGCATCACATATCATTAGCTCTCAAAAAGATTGAGATTTCAAAGATGGTTTCTACTGATTATAGAAAAAAACCCAACATGCAACTAACTGAGTGTCTTATTTAGATTTCTATTGCTTTGAAAAGACACCATGACAACTCTTATAAAGTAAAACTGTGGCTTGCTTACAGTTTCAGAAGTTCAGTTCATTACCATTGTGATGGGGAGCATAGCTGAATGTAGATAGTTGTGGTGCTGGAGTAGTATCTGGGAGTTCTATATCTTGTAGGCCAACAGGAAATCAACTAAGACAGTAGGCAGTATACTGAGCATAGAAAACCTCCAAGTCTATCCCCACAGACCATACCCATCCCAACAAAGCCACACATCCTAATAGTGCCACTCCCAGCGAGATTATGGGAGTCATCTACATTCAAACAACCACACCAAGTTTATGTGAACAGTGTGGGCCTGTCTAATTTCAGTGTTCTGAGAGAGGAAAGAGAGATAGAACCACAAAAGCATCATTCAAGGAAATAGTGTGTTGTTAGATTTTCTTTTACTCTAGCCCCACGTTGGAACAACAAAACGTTGTTTTTTTCTACTCTTTTTGCCCTTTAGTCTTTACTCTTTTGGTCTGACACCCAACTCCCAAATAAATCACACATGGAGGTTTATTCTTCATTTTAAAATGCCAGGCCTTAGCTTAGCTTGTGTTTTTTTTTGCCATCTTTTCTTAAATTATCCCCACTACCTTTTGCCTCTGGGCTTTTTCCTTTCTTACTTCTGTATATCTTATTTTCACTATTGGCCCGGGGCTGACTGGATTGCAGGCCCCTGGAGTACTCCTCCTAATTTCTCCTATTTATATTCTCTGCCTGCCAGTCCTGCCTTTCCTTTTTCCTGCTATGCTATTGGCCATTCAGCTCTTTATTAGACTATCAGGTGTTTCAGATAGTCAAAGAATCACAGCTTCACAGAGTTAAATGCAGCATAAACAAAAGCAACACATCTTTACATTGTTAACCAAATATTCTAGAACAGTAGTGCTCAAGTTGCTTTCATACCAGAGATGATGCCTTATTCCAGATTCCTCAAGCTCATAGAAACATGTGTAGTATGTTGAAAGAACATTTTTGTAGATAAAGATGAGGTTGCTGATGTTAAATGTAGAAAAAAAAGAAATCTTAGTGGAGCTGGGATGTAGTTCAGTTAGTAGAATGCACAGGAATCAAGCCCTGGGTTCATTCCCAGCACTGCCTAAATTGTGTATGGTATTACATACCTGTAATCCCAGTACTTGGGCAGTAGAGAGACATGAGGACCAGGAATCAAGACCACTCCTCAGCTTAGTAGCTAGTTTGTGGTCAGCCTACTCTACATGAAATCCTGTGTTTAAAAAATAAAAAGAATCTTTTAAAAACTGATAGAGAACAAAGGCAAATTGGAGGTAGTAACAATAATAGTGGAATCCTTACAGGTGTGATGAGGCCAGAGGACAATAGCTGAAACTTCAGAAATTTTGGAAGAAAATAAGGTTATCCCTATATACTTATCACTATATACTTAGCATAAGTATATTGCAGGAAAAAAGAATAAGATACCGTTGCTAACCATGATACAGTAACTAGTACCAGCCTTGACGCTGAGTCCTAGACTAGATGCTTTATGTTGGACAGCTGGCACTGCAGGGTGGTGATCCCAGAGAAGGAAAATAATCAGAGCCCCCAAATCTCCTGCCGATGAACCCTGAAGAATGGCAGTGCTGTTGTCCCAGCAAGACCAGAGCTTGGGACAAAGTGGCTGCTGAGTTTAATGATGTAGTTTAGTGTTGAAGAAGCCATCCTGAGGAATAGAGTGAGAAACAAGCATTGAGATTCCTGGGAAGTGATGACTAATTTTTGCACATGTAAAGTGAAATCTATGAGATCAGGCAAACAAAATAATAATAAACAGACACATAAGTGCCAATGTGCAGAAGGTGAGTAGTTACCAGGATTTACACAAAGAGGGGAAATTTTCAGAATCCACTTCCGCCAAAACCTACAGTAAAGAAACTAAAAGAGTAGCAAGTTAGGGCCTAAGTTAATCATTGGCCTGAGTTATCTCTAGAAAAGGTGATTCCAGTCTCCACATTCTTATGTTGGGGCAAAAAGGGGTGATAATTTGCTATTTAAGGAGGAAGAGAGCTTAAAGATGTGATCCAAAAGAATTACATTCTGTGGCAAGATACAACAGGATTTGTAGTAAGGAAAGTGTGGTCCAGTTGTGGCGACAGGTGGCATGGGTATGGCTACAGGTTGGCATATAGGTTGATTCTGCTTATATATTTGTCATAACAGCATTTCCTTTTCTTTTCTCCTCTTTGTGACCCTAGAGATGGATCTCAAGGCCTCAGGCACCATTAGACAAATGTTCTATCATTGAGCCCCCCAGTCCCTCAGAATAGTACTTACAGTGGGTGTAGAAAAGGACAACCTAACACCAATAATGGCCACTTCTGATGCAAAATAGTACAGTAGCTAAAGATGTCGTCCAGGAGCATAAACTGTGTTTTTAGTATTAGTGAATAGATACCCTCATTGCATGCTTTCATAATGAGAGCTAAATATTAAGTCTGTTTTTTAAATTAGTTTAGAATTCATGTGTAAATCCCAAAGTTTTCTAAGAAAACAAAATCGCCTCTTTACATTTTGGAGGCCATTTTTGTTTTGAGTTTACTGACAAGTCATAGAGCTGTAGATATTAGTTTATGTGTAGAGACTATTGCTAGAATTTATAAAGAATTTTTTGTCAGATGCTTTTTCAAGTTTATTCTCTCTGCAACATTCTTTCTCAGTTTGCTTCCCATTTTTTGAATATTGCTTCTTTACTGTTAATCATTAAAATATGGTTCTTGGTTCCATAGTTGTGTTTTGTGAATATAGCTTAGTGTTCTAGTTACCATAACCGGTGGAATTGGAGTCACTATTTAAAATAATTGCTGTTAACTATGCTTAATTACAAGGCTATCATGACTATCATAATAGAGAAAATCTTAAGGAAATTCCTAATTGAATAACAGAATAATTTTTTTAAACTTTCATATCTGGGAATATTCACATTTGATAGAGTGCACAAAGACCTCAGTTTGACCCCAGCACCATATAACCTAAGCATGGTTGTACCCAACTAAAACCCCAACACTAAGTGGTGCAGACAATAAGATTACAAACTCAAGATCATCCTTGGCTACATAGCAAGTGCAAAGCCATCCTGGGATAAGTGAGATACTGTCTTAAATAAACAAATGAATAAATAGATTTAGATGACATTTCATTTTAATCCAATAATTTTCTGGTTTACATGTATGTATTTTAGGGAAAGGTGGCCCAGACAGCCTGTATGTCAGCATGCAAGCATTTAGCCACATCCTTGATGCAACTATTGTTGGAAGCAGAAGTAAGACAACTCACTTTGGGAGCATTACAGCAGTTCAACCTGGATATCAGAGAATGTGAACGTAAGTCAGTGAATCCTTTTTGCTTGCTTGTTTTATAAACTTACATTGTCACTGATGTAAAAGAAAAGTTTTAGGTCTATCAAGTCAGTGTTTCTAATGATGTCAAAAATATATCTGGATGGTAAAGGTGTCTTACACGACCTTTTGTTTTTCTTTTTATGTTGGCTTTTTAAAATGTTTTTAATTGAAATATAATTATATCTCTTTCCCCCTTCCCTTTTCTCAGTCCAACTCATCCCAGCTACCCTCTTTTGAAACTCTTCCATGGTCCCTATAACTCACAAGTTGATAGCCCTTTTTCTTCAATTATTATTGTTATGTACATATATGTCTGTGTAGTTGAAAGTTTCTGATCCTTATTTTTTTAATAATTAAACCGTTGGCTGATGGCTAGGACTTCTTACTGGCTAGCTTTTTCTTAATTATTAACCCATAACTACTAATCTATGCATTTCTATATGGACTTATCTTACCAGAGAACACCTGGTGTGTCCTATCTTCCCAGTCTCTACATGGTGTCTCTCTGTGGCCTCTCTCCACCTTCCTTTCCCTAGCCTTTTCCTTCTCTGGTAGCCCTACCTATACCTGTCTCTACTGACCAATCAGCGTTTTATTCATCAACCAATAAGAGAAACATATATACAGAAGAACATTTCCATCATGTCTGTATGCACATATAAATATAATTTGCTGAGTATGCTTTTGTTGGTGGTATGTATGTGGTCTTAAGACTGCCTACTAAGATAGAGAACTACATACCAATCTCTCTCATGAACATTGATGCAAAAATGCTCAATAAAATACTGGCAAATTGAATCCAAGAACACATCAGAAAGATCTTCCGTCTTGATCAATTAGGCTTCATCCCAGAGATACAGGAATGGTTCAACATAAGAAAATCCATCAATGTAATCTACCACATAGACAAACTGAAGAGGAGAAACCACATGATAATCTGACTAGATTCTGAGAAAGTCTTTGACAAAATTCAGCACCCCTTCATTGTAAATGTCTTGGAGAAATCAGGTATAACAGGAACATACCTAAATATAGTAAAGGCAATATACAGCAAACCGACAGCCAACATCAAACTAATGGAGAGAAACTCAATATGATTTCTCTCAAATCAAGAACAAGACAAGGTTGTCCACTCTCTCCATATCTCTTCAATATTGTACTTGAAGTTCTTGCTAAAGCAATAAAACAAAAGGAATTCAAGGGGATACAAATTGTAAAGAAAGAAGTCAAACTTTCACTATTTGCAGATGGCATGATTAATTGACCCAAAAAATTCTACCAGGGAACTCCTACAGCTGATAAACACCTTCAGCAAAGTGGCAGGATACAAGATGAACTAAAAAAAAAAAAATCAGTAGCCCTACTATGTATAGACAATAAAAGGACTGAGAAAGAAATCAGAGAAATATCACTCTTTACAATAGCCACAAACTACATTAAATACCCTGGGGTAATTCTACCCAAACAGGTGAAAAACCTGTATGACAACAACTTGAGTCACTAAAGAAAGAAATTAAAGAAGATACCAGAAAAAGGAAAGATCTCCCATGCTCTTGGGTTTGTAGGATCAACATAGTAAAAATGGCAATCTTAACAAAAGCAATCTACAGATTCAATGCAATCCCCATCAAAATCCCAGCACAATTCTTCACAGACCTTGAAAGGACAATACTTAAGTTTATATGGGGAAAAAAAACAGGATAGCCAAAACAATCTTGTACTATAAAGAAACTTCAGGAATCATCACCATTCCTGACTTCAAGCTCTACTATATAGCTATAGTACTGAAAACAGCTTGGTATTGGCACAAAAACAGCAGGTAGACCAATGGAATTGAATTGAACACCATAGTATTAAACCACACACCTATGAACACCTGATCTTTGACAAAGAAACTCAAACTATACAATGGAAAAAAAGAAAGCATTTTCAACAAATGGCGCTGGCATAACTGGATGCGGACATCTACAAGATTTCAGATAAATCCATATATATTGCCTTGCACTAAACTTAAGTCTAAATTGATCAAAGACCTCAACATAAATCTAGCCGCACCAAACCTCTTAGAAGATAAAATGGGAAATACCCTTGAATGAATTGGCATAGGAGGCCACTTCCTGAACATAACACCAGTAGCACAGACACTGAGATTTACAATTAATAAATGGGACATCCTGAAACTGAGAAGCTTCTGTAAGGCAAAAGACAGAGTCAACAAGACAAAATGGCAGCCCACAGAATGGGAAAAGATCTTTACCAACCCCACATCTGACAGAGGGCTGATTTCCAAAATATACAAAGAACTCAAGAATCAATTCTCAAAAACACCAAATAATTCAATTAAAATGTGGGGTACAGAACTAAACAGAGAATTCTCTATAGAGAAATCTAAAATGGCTGAAAGACACTTAAGATATTGCTCATCCTCCTAGGCCATCAGGGAAAAGCAAATCAAAACAACTATGAGATACCATCTCACTCCTGGCAGCATAATTAAAATTAAAAACACCAATGACAGTTTATGTTAGAGAGGATGTGGAGAAAGGGGAACATTTCTCCATTGCTGGTGGAAGTGCAAACTTGTACCATCACACTGGAAATCAGTATTGCAGTTTCTCAGGAAAATGGGAATTAGTCTACCTCAAGTTCCAGCAATTCCACTCTTAGGCATATATCCAAAGGGTGCATAGTCATACAACAAGGACATCTGTTCAACTATGTTGGTAGCAGAATTGTTTGTAATAACCAGAACCTGGAGGCAACCTAGATGCCCCTCAACCGAAGAAAGGATACAGAAAATGTGGTAAATGTACACAGTGGTGTACTACTCAGTGGAAAAAAAAGCCTTGGAATCTTGAAATTTGCAGACATATAGATGGAACTAGAAGAAACCATCATTAGTGAGGTAACCCAGACACAGATAGACAAACATGATTACCAGCCTACAATCCACACCCCCAGAGAAGCTAGGAAACAAGGAAAACCTTAAGAGAGACATACAAGGTCACTGAAAGTGAAAGGGGAAAGAGCCCCTGAACAAATTGGGAGCATGAGGGAAGGGGAGTTAGAGGAAGAGGAGGGGAGAGTAGAGCATGAAGGATCAGGAAGATTGAGTATGTAGATGAATAGAGGAGAACAAGGAAAGAGGCACATCAGTAGAGGGAGTCACTATAGATTTAAAGAGAAATCTGACACTAGGGAATTGTACAGAGATTCCAAGGATGATCCCAAGTTGGTGGAACTGTTTGGGAATATTTAGGATGTGTGACCTTGTTGGAGGAAATATGTGACTGGGGGGTAGCTTTTGAAGTTTCAAAAGCCCATGCCATTCCCATTTAGACATTCCTACTCAGTGGTTATGAATGAAAGTGTAAGCTCTCAGCCACTGGCTCAGCACTATGCCTGCTTCACCGCCTGGCATGCTGTTAGCCATGGTGATTATAAATTCTAGCTAACCTCTGCAAAATGTAAGCCCCAAATAAACTCTGTCTTCTATACGTTGCCTTGCTTATGATGTCTTATCACAGAAATAGAAAAATAACTAAGACAACACTGAAGGGGCCTGATAGTTTTACTGAAACTTAGCATCAGCATTCAACTTGAGACTAACCACTGCATGGCCTGACACCCCCACTACTAAATCTAGCATCAGCAGTAAAATTCCTGTCTATATATTGAAGAGCCAGCAAGCTTCATTGACTTTGTATTTAACATTTCAATTCTGACTGGCAGTAATTTATCTGTCAAGAAACTTTCCATGGACATTTATTTCACTTGAAAAGAAAGAAATTGTATTCTATGCCTTTCCCTATACCACCCCCTTAATTTTTTACTTCAGATGCTCAATGGTCTATAAAAAAAATCTTAAAGAATTGATACATAAAATTCTAATAGTTAGACAGAGGCGTATAAAAGCAGCCCAGTGACAAGTTAATTAGCACTTGCATCTTCCTACCCACTGGTGTATGTGAAAGATATTTTCTGCTTTTTGTCTGTAAGTCCTTGGAAGAAGTGTCTAAGTCCTGAAAGAACACTTTGGACATGATGGAACGTGGTGTGCCCTGCATTTTTTTATTCTTAAGTCCTGTGCTGCCATTTTCATAGATCCAGGGAACAGAGAGGAATCAGACATACTAGTATGAACTGAGATACTCTGCTAGGAGAGTATCATCTTGGTCAGCTTGACAGAATACATAGAATTTATCTTTCTTTAAATTGACCATACTGGCAAATTATTTAATACCTTAAAATATTATTTACAAAATGGGAGTGATTCCTAATATTGTAGGGATGAAATGAAGGTTAAATAAACTAATATATGACAGGCTTATATGACTGGATGGTATATGCTTTGTTACCTTAATTATCATCTTCAGAGCATTAAGCCTAAATCCTGTCACTTGAAAAGTCTTCTGTGGATGTTTCAACATTGTCTAGAGTTTTTGACTCAGCTAAGTGTAAAGGTGCTGTTTTTAGTTTAATATAAAAATTAACTTATGAATTCTTAGTAATTGTCTCAGAACTTCTTGATTTGTACATGTAGACATGATCCACAACTGATAGCTTTCTGTTTCTCAGCTTGATGGTTTTGTAAGAAGTCACGCAGTAGCGCACTGTTCTCTAAAAGTAGTAACTGCTGCCTAGGTTATCATCCATTGAAAGGTGTGATAGTAATAGGTAATTCTTACTGGTGGGCCATCAAACCAAGTACCTGTAAGGTAGAATTGTTAAGGAGGCACAAGAAAATTACCCCTATACTTTTAAAAGTTAGCAAAGTAGTCTGGGTTTTCTGACATATATATTTCATCTTGCATTTCTGTATTAATTACTTTCTATATTGCTGTTATCAAGTACTTCATCTTAAAGGTGGTAAGGGCTATTTTGGCTTACAGTCTAGATGATATAGTCCATCATAGCAGGGAAAGGTGTGGTAGCAGGAGTCTGAGGCTTCTGATCACATTGCACCTGCAGTAAAGAAGCAG